CTAACTGTTGTTCTTATCATTGTTTTCTAACACATATACTGTATATCTGACTTTACTTTTATATTTTTTTCTCTTTAGCACTGAATCTGCTGTGCATATATATATATACCCTGTGTTATTGGTTTATGAGTGAAGAGTTTGAAACAGACTCTAACCACTCCATTGAAGTACCTGAGTTTCTATTTGATCCTGAGCCAGAACGCACACTCCATAGGAGAAGAAGGAACCTCAGGGAAAGATTTCCTGAAAACATGGCTGATCACAATAATAACAATGAAGAGGTTTCCCCTGAACAGAACTTCAGAACTTTGGCTGCTCCTTTTAGGAACAGATCAGATAGGGGAGTAATCCTTCCCCCTGTAGCACCAAATTTTGAACTAAAACCTATCATGTTTCACATGATTAGGGAAGCAGGGGTCTCCAATGGACTCCCTGCAGAAGATCCTTACACACACCTCACCACATTCCAAGATATTTGTGACAATTTTAAAGCTGAGGGTGTAACAGAAGAGAGCATGAGAATGAGGTTGTTCCCTCACTCCTTAGGCTTAAAAGCAAAAATATGGATGAAAACTCTCACCCCTGGATCAATCCACACATGGGAAGAACTCTCTAACAAGTTCATAGAGAGGTTTCTCCCAATGTCTCGACAAGCTGATGTTAGAGCAGAAATCTCTAACTTCAAAATGTTTTATGGAGAAAATCTCTATGAAGCATGGGAGAGATACAAGGACATCATAAGAAAATGTCCAAACCATGGGGTAGAGAGTTGGGGAGTGTTACAATCTTTCTATAAAGGACTTGATCATACTTCTCGGTCTCACTTTGATTTTGCTGCAGGAGGATATTTTTTTACAGGAACACTTGAATCAAGATATGAAATCATAGAAGGGACTGCTGAAAGATGTCTCCAATGGCCAATAGACAGAGTGAACCCAGTGAGGAAGCCAGGCATGCTAGAACTAGATAAACAAACTGCCATGGAAGCCCAGCAGGCATCACTCATGAATGAAGTGAAGAACCTAAAAGCCAACCAAGAAGCACCAAGGATGGAAGTCTTACAACTCACAGCAACTGAAACAGAACTATGCTCAGCCTGTGGTGACCTTCAAGACTCAACAGACTGCCCATCCACTGCATTGGTGTGTTATGCAGAAAATTTTGGCAATAGGAACTTCACCAGAGACAATCAACAAGCATGACGAAATACACATTCAAGCCCTGGAGGAACTATCATTAAGGATCAGAACCACAACACCCAATGGAGGCCACCCATTAACCAGAGACCATTCAACAACAATCAGCAGCAGTATCAGCAAGGTAGCAGCAGTGGAACGTCTGAACAAAGAAGAAACAACTACATTCCGTTCCATAGAGATGACCAACGCATCAACACCCTGGAAAATTATGTCAAGGAATATGTCACCAGGAATGATGCAGTGGTCAGGAACATTGAGTCCCATCTGGGACAGATTGCTGCCAACCTTCAAACCAGAACACCAGGATCACTACCAGGAGACACTAAGGTCCCCTCAACCAATTCTGAAACCCCTTGAGAGGTAAGTACCATGTCTAGCTAAAGACATTAAACTAAGCGCTGACTGGGAGGCAACCCAGTAGATACATTTGCTCTCTGACAAAGAGAAAAGTATTGGGGTGGTTATCCATAACCACATAGCTCTCAAAAAAGAGGGAACGTCTGATGTTTCTCTCTAAAAAGTCCAAATAAAGTACGTTCCGTTCCAGGAACGTAGTTTTGGGGTGGTCCCTGACCACACAATCCCAAAATAATATATATATATATATATATATATATATATATATATATATATATATATAATTATATGTTTTGTTATATGTTCATTTAGATTTATTAAATAATAAGTGATAGGTTAATACGTCCCATTTTCCTTACTTAGTACTCACTATTGCATATCTTCTTATTATTTATTTCAGTTAGTTATTTATTTATTAGTTAGGAAAAGACAAAGGGAACGTTCCCTGGGTTAGGAGATAAGAGTGACTGGGACACCTGTCCCTGCTGAGTCACTTAAAAAGATACGCAACCATATCCAATTTGCTTTCATTGCAATTCTTGGAAACGCGCGCAGAAAAAGAAACCGTCTCCTATACCATTAAGACAACTGCACCCTTTCCTTTTCCCTTTCTCCCACGTCTTGACCTAAACCGTTCCATCTTCTCACACTCATCCCATCAGTAACTGGTCACCTACTGCTGACCACTCATTCTGTAACGTCCCCATTCCACTACCTCTTCAACCTCCTCTCATTAACCTCCACGTCCCAAAAACCTTTCATTTTCTCCCCCACAGTCTATTTAAACTCGGTCTCTGATTTCTTCAAGTTCTACTACTTCCATTCAACTCAGAACCCTTTTATCCCTCACTGGACAAACTTCGGTGGTTGCTTTTCGTCACTGATGACCGTGAGTTAAACTTGAACTGGGTGGGGGAATTCCTATACCAGACGAGGAGGCTACCCGAAGAGAAGGCACCTGATGTGGTCACATTGAGGGGAAAATAAGTATCATTTTCCCCCGCTGATGTCCAGGAAGTACTCCACCTTCCATCTGTCACCAACTGTCCATACCAGGAGTATTTGGATAGTAGGGAGGTGTACACTTTTCAGAAGGATCTGAAGCAGACAGTAGCCCTGGACAATGCCAACTACTACAAAGGGTCCCTCTGCAAGGGGAGCATGAAAGACATAGCCAGGTTCTGGGCACTGTTTGCCAACTCCAACATCACCCCCACCTCTCATGAAGCCTCTGCTAGCTGGGGACTTCAAGTTCAAATTTACTGCATCATCAAGCACATCCGTTTTGATGCAGAAACCTTCATCTACAACAGCTTGCAGAGGGACATAAGGAAGACTACGGTCTTCCTTCCCTGCCTCATCACCAAACTCTGCAGGAGAGCTGGTGTAGAGGAACACCCAGATGACACCACGTAGGTGGCATCTATCATTGATGCTAAGACCTGGAACGGTCTTAAAAGCACCTACATTGACACCACCCAACCTATCCCTGCCAATCTCAGACGTTCCCCCACCAGAGATAGTGAGGAGGAAACATCTGTGGCCTCACTAAAGGAGACCACCAAGACCACTCCTACAAAATCCTCCTCCTCTAGCCACGTTCCGGCCAGAAGAACCATCCCTTATCCTACCAAGGTGAAGAAGGATGCCCCTGTTGCTACTGATGGCAAGCAGGGCAAGAAGAAATCACCTGCCAAACCTCCCCAAGAAAAGGGGAACGTTCAAGTCAGAGGATAAAGAGGGTCCTCAATAGAAATAGGCCAGAGGGAGCATCCTCTACAAAGCCTATCACCCTCTCTGACCAGGAGAGTGAAGATAATGAGCCTTTGGCAAAAAGGCTGAAGATTGGAAGGAAGTCAGCACCAAAACTAGCTGCAAAGGATACGTCCCCAAGCAGCTCAGACTCTACATTTTCTGACATTCCATCCCCACCACCTGCTCACTCTCCACTACAACAAATCACCCCACAACCCTCTCCTAGACAACAACAAGGAGAGGGACAGAAAGATAAAGAAGCAGCACCTGCTGCAGAAACACCAGTGGTGGAGCAAGAAGCTCAACCACAAAAGAAAGATGAAAAAGGAAAGGGGATTCTTGTGGAATCCCCTAAAAAGAAGGCGAAGCCATCCGTCCCCAGGCAAATTAATCTGGGAGGCCCTCTCCTGTACCCCATCAATCGTCCTGACACCACTGGGGATGAAGCTCTAGCTAGAGCTCTGGCAGAGGAAGAAGGGATGGCAGTTCCTCCACTGATGGGGGAACATATTGAAGCAATACCCTCATCATCCAGACCACCAGAGGATGAGCCCGGGAAAGCACCTGAAGCACCTTTGACTGCTGGCAGCAGCCAATAGCAAAACCAGCAGCCGTCTTCCTCCCATACTACAGCAATCCCTCTCCCAGCTAGAAAGAAATCACAAATTGGGATTGCTGAGATTTTTGAGATGATGGGGAAGAAAATAGAAAAGCTGTTGCCAGCAAGGCAATCCGTTCCCCAGATTAACATTACAAGCACCAATGAAGAGCTGAAAGCTCTAAAGGACGGATTGAACCAACTCTTTTCATCCTTCAACCAATTCCAGGAACAGCAGAAGGTAGAAAGAGAACAACAACTCAGCATCATCAAGACCAACATCCAAGAAGCCAACACTGCCTCCTATGCATCCACACTCAAGGCTGTCAAAGAAGAAATTAGAAGAGCATCTGACTCCCTGATACTCTCAAACTCTCTGCATAACCACAGAGCTGAACTCCTGCTGAACAAGCTCTTCCTCAAGCATGCTGAAGAAAGGAAAGAAACCAAGGAAGCCCTCAGGGCCTTTGGAACATACTTGGAGAAGAAAATTTATCAGCTGGAGATAAGACTGATAGATGTTAATAATGAGATTGTCCACATTCGCCATGGCATAACAATGATGAGGTCCACCATCAACTCCCTGGTTGCAATCATCAGCGATCTACTGAAGGATGCTGAGAAATGGCTCCCTGTAAATGAAGTTCGCAGATTGCAAGATCTGCTCAGGAGGAGACCATTAACACAGGAGGAGATTGATGAAGCCAAGGAAGCTGAAGCTGCAAAGAGGAACCCTTGGGACAGGAGACCTCCACAATGAAAAGGAGAAACCCTCCTATTTATCTTAGCTTAGTTTGTTTTCAGTTCTGTTTTAATTTCTTTTTCTTTCTGTTACCTTGTAATTAATCTTTTTGCAATGAAAAAGACTTTTTTTTGATCAAACTGTTTGGTATATACATGCATTTCAGTTATGGTATTAAGACTGCCTAATTCTTTTGGATTAACTAACATACATGAAACACAAAGTCACTGACTAATCATGCTTGTTCTTTCTCTGAGTACTTGAAAATAGAAACAGTGCAGGTAATTTAATCCCCATATTTTTGAAAGAAGATGATCTGTGTGAACTCAAACTGGTAAGGAACGGAAAAATGCCAAACACCTACTTCTGAGAGCGTTCCTGAGGTGTAACCACAATGAAACTTCTCAGCTTACCTTGAAGCTGTAAGTACTGCTGAAGACAGATGAATTCTGCTGTCAAGGATCAAAACATAATCACACACTCACCTCACCTCCATCATACACCATTTGGTCAATCAGAAAGAACAAGGAACGTACTGAACAATGAACCAAAAAGGGACAGAAGAAAAACAAAGAAAAAGAGGAACAACCATTCAAAAGAATTCAAGAAAAACCAGAAAACCTTCCTCCAAAGGGGGAAAAGGGTTCAAGAAAAGGTGTTCCCTCAAAATAAAAAAAGTCCAAGTTCAAAGGCACAAAAGCTAAACGTTCCTTGATCCCACAAATCAGGCCACCACTTCTTCCACAGTTCCATACACTTACCCATCAAAGAAATCCTTGGAACGGAAGACAGCTGTACTTCATAGGAACGCAGCAGAAAGGCAAGTTCTGAAGAATCATATCCAGGAATGGACAGAGCAAACACCAACCCATGAGTGACAGTGAGACAAGAGATCAACAACTTTCTCTTATCTGGGGACAGAATACTCTTACTGTTTACTATGAAGAGTAGTTCATTTTCTGAAAAGTTCATGATTGCTCACTGGCTCAAGTTCCTTTCTGTTATGCTATTCTTTTAAATTGGGCAGACCAATACAATATTTTTGAGTTGTTTGAGGACAACCAACAGTTTAGTTTTGGGGTGTTTGATGGGACATAAAATACAATGGGAGAACGAATGGTAACGTATTCCTTTAAATTATATTAAAAGGGGAACGGACTGAGACGCATTTAATGCACCTGCTCCATTCATTTAATGCTTCTATACACTTTGCAGGTAACGTAGAGTTAAAGACTTCTAAAAAGTAAGGCGGTGCACCAACTGAGCAGCTGGAAACGTGAAGAGCAGGGGATCAAGAGTTCTCATTGGCTGAAAACAGAAGCAAAACATGGGAAGGCCTGCAAACTACGGCTAATCATCACCAAACCTTGTTCCATCCAGCAATTTGCGCAGCTTCCATACTTTGCTGCCACCGTCCCATCCCCTCATTCAAGCAACTTGCTCCAAAGGATTTACAAGCTTGCCACTCTTCTTCCATCTATACCGTCTCATCCCCTCATTCAAGCCACTCTCCTTCCAATCGTTATCTCTTGACTGAATCTCGGGTCTATGTGATCTCAGTTGAGAATAATTATGTTTAAACTATCAGACATGAGCTGAACTATCTATGGAACGGGTAAATTGTGAAACTCTTAAAGAACTGTTTTCAAAACTCTTGACCGAAGCTTTTTGTATTTCTTTGGCTAAGTAAGCTATATTCATTGTGCGCAATGGAAATTGGGTACATAATGAGAAAGGAACTTCCATAAGGAAGGGATTTCAGACAGCTTAGCTATTAGGGGAAGGTAGATGTCATGGCAAAAACACTACTGGTCACCTTAGGAATAAGGGGTCAACTCGTCCATTTTAAGGTTCTGAACTAAGTACCTGTTGGAGTCAAGGGAGCCATAGCAATATGGAAACTTGTGAGCCATCTAGACCATGAGCTGAGGAATCAGAGTTGGCAGGCAAAGAAATTAGGACAAAGCCAAAAGGTGCTAATTCTTGAGCAGAGAAAACAACCCCTTTAAGAGTGAAGCAGTGAATCTGTTCCTTCTGTTAAACTGTTTTAACCACCACCCTGTTGTCTCTTGATTATAGTTATTTCTGTTTTAGTAGTTTTATTTTATTTTATTTAGTACTTATAAAAACTCCAATGATTGTTATCTCACCTTCTTCTAAACAGGAAGGATCACATACATAACGCAGCGAGCAACTGTTTGCCATCAGATTGAACCTACTGTTCCTGAGGAACGTTGTCAAGACAGTAGGGAACGTTTAACCTGACAGTTCATTTACTAACTTTTCTTCTCATTTTCACTCTTTATAAACAGTGATAAAACAATAATTAGCACTCTATCCTCGTGGGAACGATAATTTGGGCATTAATACTCCATTTATTACTTGATGTGTGCACTTGTGCACTTGGGTTGGAACTAAGGGACGAATCTGTGTTCTGCAAGAACAGAGGAACGTCCCCTATCAGAACTTATATTTTCCACCATCAGCAAACCACCCAATAATACACAATGAATATAGCTTACTTAACCAGAGAAATACAAAAGCTCAGTACAAAAGTTTTGAAAATAAGTCTTTAAGAACTTTGCAGTTTTTTCGTTCCACAGATAGTTTAGCCCATGGCTACTACTTTAAACATAATTATTCTGGATTGAAATCCCAAACCCGAGATTCAGTTAAGAGATAACGAGTGGAAATGAGGGAAATAACACATATATTTAAATGGAAACAACTTAGGTTACAACAAAATAGAAAGTTGAGAATATGGTTATTGCTCGTGAGGAGTCTCAAGTGGGTGATACAGAATAAAGAAGAAGTGTTGTCACTTAACTACAGCTAAAACTATACAAAAGAAAAACTACAAATAAACTAAGTGATCTCTTCTTTAGAAATTCGATTCTTTTCTTCGTGCTGGAACGTCCTATTTATAGGCTGAAGAGTGAGTGGCAAAGTGGGTAATTCCCTTGGAGTTATTTTCTTGATTGCATGAAAGAGGCGGTGTGAACAGTGCTTTGAGTGGTGCAAGTGGCTGGATGAGACAGTTATTATTGAGATTTGTCTTTCCTTCTGATCATCCCCATGCCTTGCTTTCCTCTTAGCCAATGAGAACCCTTTATTCCCTGATGTACACGTGTCTTCGTTCTTGATTGCTGCACTGCTTATGCTTTATGGAACCTTCTTTTCAACGTTTCCTGCAAAGTCGTCAGAGAGGTTGAGTGAGTGAAGCAAGTGTATTAAATGTTCCCAATCCGTTTCCCTTTTTATATATTTTCCAAAAGATTACGTCACCATCCATTCCCCACTGTGTTTTTGTCATAAAGATATTCAACATGTGCTTTTAGTGCTAAAGTTGCTTATCAGATGAGGGAACAGGTGGTATTTTGCAATCAAAATGGGCTTAGATGGGAACGAATTTTTGTCCCATCATGGGACTTGTAAGCTGTCTGTTATTTAACTGTGTTTATCAGGTGTGATTGTGTGTGAGATTATTATCTCCTAGTTATTCGTTAAACAGCCGTTATGCTGTCCGTGAGACTCTGGTAGGAATGACACTTGTTGTCATATCCGGTTAGTCACTGGCCACTAATATTGGCTAATGGTATTAATTAGTAGTTGAATGTGTTAGATTTACGCTTTCGCAGTACCTTACGTGAACGTTTTTAGGAATATTTTCAAAAAATATTTTGAAAAAAAGTTTATTCGTATTTTTACAAGACGTTTCTTTAATTATCCAATAAAACCTTCCGCTGTGTATGCTATAATATCATGATGGTAACAATCGGAGTACTACAGGGTGTTACATTTATGGTATCAGAGCAGTTTCACCGAGACGTTCTCTAATTTATTGCTTAAGTGTTAGAATTACCTGTTGAGTGTCTCTTGAGTATCATGATAATGCATATTTCATCACTTGATTGAGCGCAGCTAACTCATACCTTATGCAGTTGTGTGTAGATATCATGGCTCCTCGAGGGAGACCATGACGAGGTAGTTCAGAGCCAACCACCGGACCCCGTTGTTGCTGCTATAGCTCCACTTCAGCAGACCTTCTATTTTTCCTTTAGGCTTGACAATGGATCTATCAGCCATCTGCAGTGTTACAGTAGTGGCTTTTGCTGGTCCAGTAGCAAGTTGTTTAAAAATTGAGGAGGGCATCAGATTGATGCTAGCTCCCAAGTTACACAAGGCTTTGCCTTGGTAAGTGTTTCCTATAACACAGGGAGTGGGAAGATGTCGAGGGGACTTCAGTGTCTCTTGGCAGT